AACTTGGGAACAGCATTCCTGGCAAGCTCCAATATAAAGAAAATTCGGCCAGTGCAAAGCAATGCGTGCAAACAGGCGTGCCTTGACGCTTTCAGACATTCATTGGAGCCTGGCATCTATAGCATGCTCTATCATACGAATCAGAGGGGAACGGATACGTCTTTTGCAGGCAGTTTTTTCAGAGGCTCTTGGAAACGCGCCGCCTCAATCCAGATATCGCACATGGCAGCTGAGGCATGTAGCCCAAAATCAGCTTTGAAAATCTCAAGAGACCTCACTGGTCCTCAGATGGTGTCTTCGTGTTCACCCGCGCCACGCCGGCTGCGAAGTCCTGCGCATTTGAAAGTGCCAGCGCCAAAACGAAGATATCGCTATCCATTTTGCACCTCCTTGCCGCAGAAAACCAAGTAGGCTTTTGCCAGATCCTGAGGTTCAAAAACGAAACATGGAATCAGCAACATACGGTGACCTAAGGCGCGCGAGCCTTCAGTGTCGCCTGCCAGGTCGTCTCCTCTGACGTGTCAGTGACAGCTTTCAAAGCCTGGCAGACATGGCCCATATTACACGCTGAAGATACTGCAGACTTCACAGAACACGCGCACGCAAACATATGCATGAAGGCCTTCCACTTCTCCTCCATCGTTGTCTTGGCGGTGTGCAGGGTAGACAAGCAAACCTGTGCCTCCTCAACGCCCTGGAGCTGCAGCTCAAGCTTGGCATATCTCCCAACCTGCAGCAGTGCAACATAGGGAAATTGCATGTCAAGATCTTTAGTCTATAGCAAGACACTGCAGAGTCATCATGATACCCGACCTTCGCGAGCACTTCCTTTTCAATGCTCTTCCTGGTGGCCTCCCGGTTGTACCTCGGGAAGGCCTCCTTGAGGTCCGTGGCACGAACCTTGTTCAGCTCGAACACTCCTGCCTTTGCAGCCGCCTTTGCTTTGCCTTTAGCCTTCGTGGCTGTGGCTTTGGCCTTCACAGGCGGGGTCGAGGAGCCTGCCAAGAAGTCAAACAAAAAAACCAGCTATTAAGATCATGAGTCATTGCTCTACAAAAAAATCATCTGCAATGATTTGCCTCCAGCGTCTTTGTCATCCACAGCGCCGCCACCCAGGCCAGCAATCTTGTTTGCTTGCCTGAATAAAGCAAACTTTGATGAGACATACCCTCAGAACACCAAGAAACCATGCATTCATTAGGCTAATTAATTCAGAATGCAAGCAAGTAACAGCTCCGCAAACAACTGCTTGGCCTCGGGCCTAGCATCCTTTGCCAGGCTAGTCACTCTCGCCTCGATAGTTCTGCGCCGCTCGAACTTCTCGGCGTCCGACTCCTCAACCACGATCTTGTAAACGAGCCCGGTGCCAGGTGGCAAGTTTGGATCATCCTTGCTTCCTGACGGAGAACACATCAATTAAGGTTGGATAGAAAAATCAAGGACCAAGCATACAAGGCAACACTTACTAAATTCAAGCAACATGTCTGCGCCAAACTTAATTGAGCAAGCGGCGGCCCTCCTTCACTGCCTTCAGCATGGCCGCATCGGCCTTGTCCTGGTTCCCTTTGTAGAACTCTAGCACGCCTTCTTCTGTCAGCCAGTTCTGGCACAGCGTCTCTGCCCTAGGTCACATCGCAAAGCACTGGACAGAAATACACTATTGGAATGCTGAATGCATGCAAGTCCTGCTATTAAGGCACAGACTGTGTCAGCGTGTCTTGCAAGATCATCTCGATGGTGCATTTCAGACAATCTTGATTGTTGTCAACAAATTGTCGTATCATGTTCTTGCGAGTGTCGCCGCCGGCACGCCATGCTTCAAGCATTTCGAGCGTACACCTGTGAGCATTTCGGCATGCTCGCCGGACCGCCTGGATGTACGACGCAGTCGAGCCTGGGTCCTTACATGAAGCAAAGCAGTCACTATATTGTTGCATTGTTCTGCTCAATGCCACAATACAGCACTCTAACACCATACATTAGTCATACATTATTGAGACCTGGTTCGGGGATGGCCTCGGCTCCCTGAGACGGCTGGGACCCGTCTGCACTCGAAGAGGGGGCCTCCAAGCTACCTCCTTTCGCGGTTCGGCGCAAAGGCGGGGGAGGTGGCATGGTCGGCTTCACAACAGTCGGGGTTGGCGGCGCCTTCGCGCTCTCACCTTCGCTACAGGCACTGGCGCTTGCCGGTGTCAGACTTGGGGCAAGCTTCGCCAGCTTCTGCCGCAGCTGCTCGTTCTTGGCCCGCTGCTCCAGGACCTTACGCTTTTTCTCGTCAACCTGCGCGCTCTCAACTTCCTGGATCTGCTGCTGCAGCAAGTTCTCTTCCTCGCGCAGCTTCTGCAACTCTACCGAGCAAGGCGACATGTCCAGCCGAGAAGACGTGGCACGCGTCGGCGAGGCAATGGGCCTGCACGTACTTCGCCCTCCTGACGAAGCTTCTCCTGGCGCAGCTTCTCCTGGCGAAGCTTCTCCTGGTGAAGCTTCTCCTGGCGAAGCTTGTCCACCTCCTGCTGCTCACGAAGCTTCTCCTGGCGAAGCAGATCCTCACGGACCTGCACCTCAAGCTTCCGAGCTTCTTCAAGCTTGGCTCTCTCAGCCTGCTCAGCTGCCTCGCGAGCAGCAAGCTCTGCCTGCAAGCGCTTCCGCTCTTCGAGTCGGGCTTCCTCACGAACTTTCTCTAACTCAGCTTCGCGATCTTTCTTCTTCTTCTCTAGTCCTTGCATAGCCTCAGCATGCAAGGCTGCCTCATCCTCTTCATCCATTGCCTGCTCCAGCTCGGATTCGAGATCATCCATGGCTCTTTGGAAGCCACCCTCAGCTCTGCCCAGCAAATGAAAGTGGCATGCGTCACACAAAATTGCAGCCACACTGGTCCAAAAAAAACAAGGCACTGATCTCTCCTCCTGCTCTTCTAGCTTCACGAGCTCGCGGTCCAACTCATCATCATCCAGGGCGACCTGCCAATGTTGGTTGTGATGCATCTGGCCAGGTGCATTCAGGTGCGGCCAGTCTGTCGTACGTTAGCACTTGAATGAATTAGCAGGTTTGGGAAAAGTGAATGTCATTCGGATTATCGTAATCACATGCACGCACTGAACTTGAGCAGAGGCTCCTTGGGACCTCCACCAGGCAGGACTTCTGTAGCTTGGCTATCAAACGAAGCCTGCATTTAATCCAAGCACAGAGAAAGCATTTTGCGAGTTTTGATGCGACATGTGTATTTTATTTTCGTACAGAGCTGCACCTCGGAACCAGGTGGAAGCGTGGACAACTCCAGTTTCGCTTCTCGCAACTCAGCCTGCTTAAAAAAAATTGCCGACGCGACGCAAAAGCTCATATTCTCTCACACAGGAAAGGGCCTGCGCTTCAAGCTGTCTGTCAAGGTAGCTCATGCCACGCAGCAGGGTCGAGTTTGACCTGGAAAAAATATTGTGTTTTAAGTTTCGCAGCTTCAGGTACTAGCACAAATTGGGCAAGACTGAGCCCTGTACACCTGGGAGCTAAAAGCCATGGCAGGCCTCCCATCCAAAATCTGGAGCCCAAACCAGCAGATTTGAGTCATTTTGGGCCATTGATACCAGCGTACGGTTTCGTACGGTTTTCGTACGGGTACGGAAGATGTACCGTGGTCCACGGCGTACGGTTTCGTACGGTTTTGTACGGTTGGACTTTTTTTTGAATATTCGAAGGATATTACCGATGGGAGCCACAAGATCGCTTGCATATAGACCGTAATCAAAAAACAAGTGCCTGAAATTAGATTCGGGTAGTATATGCACTGGCACATACGCCATACGCATGCATGCAGGCACGAAGCACGCAAACCACACTTGACGCTTAATGTGTAAAACCATACCCGTACAAAACCGTACCCGTACAACACGGTATACCCGTACAAAACCGTACCCGTACAAAACCGTACCTGTACAAAACCGTACCCATACAAAACCGTACCCGTGCAAAACCGTACCCGTACAAACCCGTACCCGTACAAAACCGTACCCGTACAACACCTTACCCGTACAAAACCGTACCCGTACAAACCCGTACCCGTACAAAACCGTACCCGTGCAACACCTTACCCGTACAAACCCGTACCCGTACAAAGCCGTACCCGTACAAACCCGTACCCGTACAAGACCGTACCTGCAGTACAAAACCGTGCCTGTACAAAACTGTGCCCGTACAAAACCGTACCCGTACAAAACCTTTCCTCACGTGCAAAACCGTACCCGTGCAAAACCATACCCGTACAAAACCGTACCCATGCAAAACCATACCCGTACAAAACCGCACCTGTGCAAAACCGTGCCCGTACAAAACCGTACCCGTACAAACCCCAACTACAGGGAAATGCTGATTATATAGATTACAACCAAATGCACAGAACAAAGGTGCAAAACAGTCGCTTATGTGTACCCATTGTTCGCTACACATGTACCTGGAACTCTACCTTACATGCACTAAGCTATCTGCTGCTGACTCTATAAATAATTGGTGAGCTATATGTGCCATATAGCTCACCAATTCCTAGCATTTGTTGGGTGCAACATTTTGTCCCCCACCTATAGGTTAAAACTTTGATTTATTTGTGAAATATCATATTTCACAAATAAATCCCAAGTTTAGAAATTTACTTGCATATATGGAACCCCATATTATCTTCTACCTTGCACCATCCCATTTGAGGCACACAGTAAAGGTCATGTTGGTCCATGATTTTGCCTGGAGCTTTGGCACGTGGCCCACAGCTGCTCAAAGAACCTTCAGGTCCACCAGAAGCTGCCTCCACGCAATGCCAGTTGCACGTGATATGAAATTTACGACGCTGCAGTTGCATGCCTCCATCCGGCTGAAGGCACTCGGAGATGCCGGGATCTCGCCAAATAGACCACCACGCTCCACAAATCAGCCTCAAAGATTCAAGCATATATACCAGGACCTGATATATTAGAAACATGGCTAGATTTTATGAGTTCATGACAGCGACCCAGCTCCTGGCATCATCCCACGTGTCGCCAAGATCAAGGCGCCCTTGCTCGTTGTAGAATCGCTGATACCTGGGTTATTCGAAGCATGTGTGCGATAAGGAGGCATTTTTTTACAGTCTACAAAACATTCCAGATGGACTTGTTTCAAGTGAGGCGCCCGTTCTGCGCATCATAGTCATCCTTTGCCTTGAAGGCAGGCACCCTGGCCAAGCTCAGCCGGATACTCCCTCAGATACACATGGCGGCCCAAGACACATCCAATAAGTGATGCTTGCAATATTCATTATCTACAGTGCGCCAAGTCGCTGGGTTTTGCGAAGACTCGCAGTGCCAGAAACCTTTCCGTAGGGATCCTTCCGCGTGGGCTTCTCATATCCCAGGATCTCGCGCAGTTCCTCCGCTTCTTGTCTCATTTCCCGAGTGAATCTTCTGTAGAGATCGCCGACCCATTCCCTTGGATGCTAGACAATATATGGTAAGGGGTGGCTTCTGGAAAAGAACTCAACTAGATCATCAGTCTGCCAAGGCTCTTGTTCGAGTAGAACGAGGTCAATTTGGGAGTCCAGTGTCCCCAACTTCCCTGATATACGTTCTGTCTGAACAACTCGGCAGCTCTCGTGAGATCCTTGGCTCGTGGGTGGAAGGGCATTAATGAGGATGATGGTTGCTCGAGCAGGATGTCGCCGCCATACCACAAATTCACCAACATCGCCAATATTGTCCTTCGCAGCTGAGCCCTCTAACAAATTATATGTGGACTTGCACAGGACAGACAAAGGAAACTTGCAAAGCGTCCTTGACACCATTTGATTTGCCTGCTGCACTGTGAAGAGCGACTCATCACCAAGTGGGGCAGCTTTACCTTGGCATGTCCAATACAGTCTGCCCAGAAGTACGCGGTGGCACCAGCTGAATAATTAAGACGCAAGCTTCTCTTGGATGTTGATCGGTTGATCCATATCCAAGAAGAACAAACCGGCTGGTACATTCCGAACCTTAGCTTTAGGCAGGAGGAAACTTGCATTTGACCTCTATTTCAACAAGACAAGTGTGCTTTTGATGGCCAAGGGCCGCGGTCCATCAGGAATAAGACACAGCAGGGAGTGGATCACCAATCTTAGCATCACACTTTTGCACCAGCGCGTTACTCAATATACTCAGAAAATTAAAAGGCTTACGTCTCCATGTCTGAAACTTGAAATTTGAGGCCCATGCGCGAAACCAGCATCGCCCAATATGTTCATACTCGGGCGCAGCTCTATATCATGAGCAGCGCAAGCATGTCCATGTCGAACAAAGGCGGACTGGGCCAGGTGGAAACAAACATCAAAAACTTGAGTGCAAGTGGCACCTACCGGATGTCGCACACAATGCATGTTTCATTTCCCACCTTCACCTGGCCTGTTCCTGAAAACAGGTCGACACAGGACCATCTCGGGGCGATGGGGACCTCACTGTTCCAGAGCCTGCAGGAGCAATTGCGAACAATCTTCATACGTTCTTCTACGCAGATGAAGTACTTAGTCAGGGACAGCAGAAGGCACACCAATATGCCCAGTTTTGGGATGTTGGCCGCCAGCATCGACTCCACCAGGGAATCTGCAGCCTCTGCCATCGGCCACCTAAGCCAATCTGAAAGAACCAGGTCACGTTAACACCTGCAACATGGTCTGCCGAGAACCCGACAAACTTGAAAAGGCCAGCAGAATGAGGCAGCGCAGCATCGCAAGTGAAATCAACGCACAAAGTCCAACCCACAGCAACTTTTGGCTGACTGGGAGCAAAACGCTTGGCAGCACACAGCTTAAGTTGCTATATGTAGCGCAGGCACACAGCGCAGCAGCTGCAATCTAAACCAGCCAGCAGGGACCTTGACTGGATGCAGAAGTGGAAGCGGAAACTTTCGGAGTACCTCCGCAAGATTGCATGTGGCAGTTGCTGGAACCAGCTAGCATATATCCGCTGGCATGAAGTTGCAGGCTTTTTTTTCTCAACTCGGATCCGCGATCACATGAAGTCAGTATCCTCCACGTAGCAGTCGCGGGCGTACACATCAGCATAATCAAAGATTTCCGGGCGATCCTCAAAGTCACCAAGTCCACCAGACTCCATGATGGACAGGTAGTACTCGCGCTGGCAATATTTCAGGCGAGTAGCACACTGATCCTGTCTATGAATTGAAAAAACACGCCAGCAACACCCTGCTCTTCTCCAGATTTGTGGCCTTGCTCTTTGGGTGAACATACCTCAAACAATTGGGATTCAAGGTGTGGGCTTCGAGTTCACACACTCAAGTAGTTAACGCAATTGTGGCACTTCTCCCAAGACTGAGAGATTGCTTGCCATCGCCACGCAGCCGGATTGTTCATTGGCATCAGACGGCCAGCAAAGCACGGCCTTCTACCCTCGTTTGCCGTATCCGCCTTTGCAAGCGCCTTGGCCTTGGCCTTGGCTAGTCTTCGCTTCTTCTGACCACCTGGGCCAGACTCATCCTGAGATTGGGGAGAAATGTAGGTTGTTAAAGCACACTCGTTTACAGATTGCATATGCAGTTTTGGCTCCTGCTGCATCTCCTGGGACACAAAGCTGCGGTCAAGTACCAGCGCACCCGCGACCTGGTCATCCTTCTCGGACTCATCGTCATCATCCAGCTCTATGGTGTCCTGCACACACCGGACCAACACCACCCTGAGACTTCCAACCTGGAACTTGCAAACCCGATGAATTGACCCTGCAGCTAGCAAAAACCTGAATGCTGAACCCCATCTACCCCAGCCTACTGTCATCTATAGTACACATGCTCCAGTATGAAGGGTAATAGAGGAAAAAAATAAAGCATGAATCCCCAGTGTAACACTATAGGTGTATGTAAGATGTGACCAGCACATCTTACATACATATGTTAAGGGGCCATTGCAGACACAAATAATCAAACCCAACACTGAGAATTCATGCACCTATACAAGCCCTTATACATTTGCACGCGCGTCATTTGCATGCCTCACCAAATACCTTGCGGTGAGCGTCCCGGTACTTTTTCAGGGCTTCCTGCCAAAATCAAGGCTAGTAGCCGAGATTCCCTTCAGCAATATTTCAAGTGCCTGTGCCAGCCTCACGCCCACTTTCTGACAAAGTGTGCGACTTCGGTATGAAGGCAGAGGACGATGGCCTTAACATGCACGGGAGAGAAAGTGCTTAGGCTTATGTTTAAGAGGAGGAACCATGTGAAAGAACCACACCTTCATCATCATATTGAGCCAGGTCAACAAGCCCAGACGAAGCTAATGATGTAAAAACATTTCGAGCTTTCGATTTAGCCTTTAGCCTTCCAAAGCACCACTTAAGAAGCGTTTGTCACAGGCCCAAACCAAAACAACCATACTACATGCAATGTGAATTCTTCCCAGTCACTCTTCCGGGCTTGACTCCACATCCAAAGCTTCTGGCCCTGGCTCTGCATCCCTCGCCTCAGGGACCGGATCCTCTGCATCCGTATCCAAAGGATTTGCTGGCTCGTTCCTCAGAATTAATGCTTTGAACATGGAAATGAACACATCCTTGACACTGCCTACATTCAGAATTGGACCAAAGACACTCATCGCCAGCTGGCCTTGAAGCTGCCGACTGGGTCTTTCTGCGGGGGTTTTTCGGCCAAGTTTGCATCCTGGGCAACGCACAACCTAGTCTGCTGACTGCTGCTTTCAGCAAGATATTGCAGCCCAAGACACAGGCCCTTGAGAGAATCAATCTTTGTAGAATAGGAGGAACTCAGATGCCACAACCCTGCTGGCAGCTACAACCAACTCTCAACCACTTTATGGAAGTCCTGGTAGCATGCAACTTCTTGCAGTCCATGATGCTCCGCTTTTCCAAGAAGCTTCTTGACTCTCGCGCAGCTTCTCTTCAATATCGAAGCAATAATCCCAAGATCCAGGTCATCAAGGGCGCGATTACCATGCGCCTGGTGCACCTAAGTTGGACTCCGGACATGTGTGTGACATCCAGCGTGCGCGCAGCTACACATGAACTCAGACAAGAGGCTGCCACAGTGAAAGCCCTGGGGGCCGGGACACGATAAATCTTGGCCTCGCCTCAGGAACAAAATTGCTGGGTTCGTTGACAGAGGGCAGGATCAACACAAACACATTTAAAGCTAGCAAGCAAGGCGCTCAAAGCTTCAATGCAGGCATGGATTGCCGGGTAGCCGTCAGTCTCAATGAAATCCAGAGGTATAGGTGTTTTCGGAGCTGCAATTTTGGACCAGTGAGGCCACATCACTTTCAGTTCTGCGCAGCAGGCTGCATGAGTGACACCCGCGCACATTGTCCGCACTTCTGACAATTAGATGACCCAACATGCCTTGAACGTTGCAAAGGAGCGGCTTCAGGTGCCGCGTCATCAACGCCACAACCTCGTCAGGGCACAGAAATGGAAAGCAAGAACCCCTATATAGTTAAGACACACACGCAGAGAGAGCCTCTTCTTCATTGGTAACCCCCTCATCACCCTGGCAGCGCAATCAGAGGCTCAAACCCTATATGCGTGGTGCACTTGCCCTCTGCCAGGCCTCAGGCTCTTCGAAACCTTCACTCTCCATGGTCAGATCAGCGATGTCTGCAGATTGTGTTAAGCTGTGATATCAGAATGCTACATTGCAATCGCTGCTCATCACTGGCCTGGCAGACCGTCCTGTCAATTGCTTAGAACTATAATAGGTGTCACGGCGTGCATCTGGGGCCCTCAACTAATGCGGAAACAAGCTTGTCCTAGGTTGCACATTGCATCTGCGAAAAGCAGGGGTATGACACACAAGCGTTTTCTGCAGGCACATGACAGGCGTGCAAGATCTGCAGTGCATACCAATTTGTGCAGAATACGCAAGGCGTATAGTTCCCAGGACTTTTCACGGATTACTGCCACTTGCGGCTGCTTTGGGCGTGGGTGGGTACTTTGCTGTGTGCGAATCAAAAGCGCCAGGCACGCACGGAGGCACTGGACTCGAACAGCTAGTGGCGCGCGGTGGCACTGACTGCGCTGGGGGCCGTAAGCCCGGCCGCAAAGGCCGAAGCAAGGCTCTCAAGCTTGCTGGCATCACTGTCGGTATGGCGCGGAAAAAACCCCCAACAGGCAGAGCTGTAGGCTCCACAGCTTTTGGCGCCGGCCACACCTCCTCTGCCGCTGGCAGGGTACTTTCCCTAGCCACGGGCTGTGATTCACTTGTTGGCTGGCTGCACGCTGACGCTTTGGCCTTGGCAATTGCCGGCTCAGAGCTCGAACTGGACGAGGAACTTGTGGAGCTGTTGCTGATCCGTCGCTTTCTTTTCAGTGGCCGCACAGGCACGTGTCCCTGGCTGCAAGCTGGGTCCGCTGGACTGGTTGACGTTGGTGCATCACTGACTAAGGTCCAGTTGCTGCCTGCGGGACTGTCAGATTCATCAGACTCCATATCCCTAGCAGCTGACGCTACAGACGCGTGATGCCTGACTGCGTGGGAGCCAAAAAGCAGCATGAACGCTGTCACAGTCAAAACAGTCACACTGGCATATAGGCTTGCAACTTCAAATCTGACATGCATGCAACGCACAGTCTGCAAGGCGCACCAAGCAGCAACTTCAGCTCGCGGGTAGACATCCATCACGCACTTCCCGCGCACAAGTGGGAAAGTGCATCCTATACGTATTAAACCATATTGTATTCTATAATGTACCTATATACTTACACCGGCCTATATATAATAAGCAGCTAATCTAACAGATGCGTAGAAGTACGCATTTGTTAGGTTAGCTAGGCCCGGGGGTTTAATTAGTTGCTGTTTCCTGCTCCCACAGATATGTACCGTATGCATGTCCAACACTCAGCTTGCTTGAAACTGTGACGCGTTGTTGCTACTGACTGCGCACCGAACAATTTTGCATGTGTGCCTTCGCACGACCAGCGCATGTATCACATACATATTGGGCCATGCTGCAGAAAATACCAAAGCACTTTTCAGCAAATGTTTGGGACATGTCCATTCCAATAGCTCACACAAACACCGGCCCTTAAAAAAGGGACAACGACCCACAAAAAGAAACCATTCTTTCAGTTAATCAACAAAAAAAGCACAACCACCTAAGAACGAGCG